CTGGAGCCCAGGTCCCTGCAGCTGGCACAGTGTCTGCCCTGCACGGGCAGGCAGCATGCTTCAGCACCAGGGCAAGGGCCAAGCATAGAGATGCTCTGGCAGCCAGAGCATCTATGTGGAGAACCCCGCCTCCAGTTGCCTCAGGGCATGGTCCCACCTGCCCTGCTTTTTTTCTCTGAGGGTTTTTTTTGGATATCCAGGGGTCTAATTTTGCCCACATGCTGCTTTCTCATTCCTGCGCGTGCCTCTTGCAGCGTCTCAAAGGGGCTTGAGATGCTGCAAGAGGCACGTGCGGGCTTGTGTGGATGCTCCCATAGTGAGTAATTCATCTGAATATCGGAAATAATTTCACACTGGGACTGGATGATTCAAAGCCTTGGTAATAGCCATTCCCCTCTGGGTACCTCAGAACAAACCTGACTACACGGGTCTAGATGTAGAACAGGGGAAACACTTTCAGCCAGTTTTTTTATTGGCTTCAAAATTAGTCATATGGCCACATTGCTAAATATGGCCTCTGAGTGCTCACCTGGATGGTCTTCTCAGCAAAGAGACAAAGTCCTCTCTCCCATTTAGCATCTATTCTAGAGGGTTTCTCTCTAACATACATTAGCTGGACTCTCTCAGGAAGCTTGCAAAGCTGTTATACTTGCTCTCTGAGTAGAAGAGAAGTTTTCCCTCCATGGGCCTATCCATGCATCAGCTTTCAGTGGCTCAGAAGGAAGTGTCAGGGAGCAAATAAGTCTGGGTGTTCTTGAACGGGGAAGCTGGGAAATGATGTGTTGTAAATACAAATAAACTGTATTTTTCAAATGGCTGTTGGGAGGCACATGACTGTGAGCAGCCAACAGATGGAGGATGCTGTGCTAGGCTGCATTGCAGCTGCTGGGGAGCGGTGAGGTTGGTTTCACTCACCTTGTTTTGCTTTCCTCTTGCAGTCTGATGGGACCATCCTGGCCATTGCCCTACTGATCCTTTTCCTCTTGCTGGCACTGGCTCTCCTCTGGTGGTTCTGGCCTCTTTGCTGCACAGTGGTAAGTCCCATCCCCTTGCCTAGCTGGTCTGAACATAACATGAAGCATAACCGGAGTGAAAGGAACTATAACAGGACCCATACTGAACTACAGGACCCATGCTGTCACCTCTGTGTGGATAGGGTTACAGTGACCCATGCACCTGGTGGTGAAGTCCTGCCAGTGCTAATGAATAGGCTGCAAGGAACCAGAGGAGTCGGAGATGGGAAAGGGGTCTCCTGCTGTCCACTTCTTTGTGACAAGTGAAAGATTGCTCCCTGCAGGAAGCTGCTGGGTGTTTTAGTCTTGGTTATTCACATGCAGAAAGGTTTTGTTGTCTAAGTGAGCTGGGGGGGTTTCTTTGGTTTTATGCAAATGCAAAACAAAAATTATCAGCTCAGTACACCACTTCTGTGGTGTCCACAAAGAAATGAACAAAGAAAAGGTCAAGTTTGCAAGCAGGTGAACTGCAGGGCATAGAGTAAGAGACTGCCTCTCTGACTCTGCCACTGATTTGCTGCAAGGTCTCAGGCTTGTCACTTTTCTCATGCGCTGGTTTCCCCATCTGTGAAATAAGGATGCTGTTGACTCTTAGAGCTGGTCAGGAATTTTTCTGAAAAAGCTTTTTGGCAGAAGATGCCAAATTATGAATATGGCATCATTTTACAGAAATGCATCTTTTTCAATAAAAGGTTTGTTGGGAAGGCTCCTCAGATACAGGATGGCATTTCTGGAAGGAGACCCTTACCTCAGTGGTTGAGACCAACAGCTCAGTGGTTGAGACCCAGGTTCAAGTCCATGTTCTGCTTTTCTCTAGCTGATATGGAAGGAAAATAAAGTTTCTAGACCTGAGAATTCTCTTTTGCAAAACGGAATTCTTATTTTCTGGACATCCCTACTAATTATCCACCTGGGCAAAGTCCTTTGAGAGAGTAACTTCCCTAATGTATCTCAGTATAATTATTCTCACCTTGAGTAATGTCTTGGGTACAAGGTCTTTCAAAAATGTTTTGCAAAACTAGGAGTGCAGTTGAGGCATTAACAAATGAAACAGGAAAAGCCATGAAAGAAAAGAGCAGGGAAGGCAGCAAGTTGTAAGAGTGGGCACACTAAGCTAGGGGCCAGGGGATCGGAGAGATCCATTCCTGGCACTGTCACTGACAGTGTAACTATGACCTTCTTTTAATGCTTCTGGTAAACCTGTGCTTTCTATTTAGGTCAGCCCAGGGACGTTGACTATGTATTTGTGCAGCACCTAAAATAATGGGGTCTGGTCTCAGAAGGATCCTCTCCTCCCTACTGTAATACAAATACAGAACAATAAAGAAGGATGCACAAATTTCTTCAGATTTGGAATCTAGGTTTGGTACAGGGAGGTGAATAATATTTTAGATGCTCCTTTTAAGTTTGTCCAACTTGGCTTTCATTCTTGGGTTGGTAACACTGTTGTTTCAAAATCCCTGATTTGGTGTTGTAAATGGACATGGCGTAGTTCAAAGTGTATGGTTCAATGCTGACAGCTGCAAAGACAATGGGAGTTGTATGAACTGTGCATCTTCTGGGAGTAAGCCCCTAGGGAGACATTCCTGTATCGAGAACTGTTATGGAAATCGTGCAAGAAAGATTTATCAGTCTTGAACCTCTGCTTCTGGCTAGAGATGCTAGGGGTAGAGTATTATTTTCATAGTAGTTTGGCATCTCCATTCTCAGATGAAAACCAGAAGGGGAAAAATATTTATTTGAGAGTTTCAGAATAACAATAAAAAGTTCAGTTCTGAAAACAGGCAAAGGATTAGCATTTTGGTAGGGTGAAGAGGGTTATTTTTCTGTGCTGGATCACACATTCTCAGAGTAGAAGGGCCAGATTCTTTGTTGGTATAACTCTGCTGAAGCCAGAAGAGATTATGTATGTGGAATTTGGCTTGATACTTTTCCAGCTAAGACTTGAAATGAGGTGGAGAATTGAGCTGATATGGGGGAAGCATACAGGAAAGCCAGATTGTAGATGCTGCGGAAGTGAGGAGATGCCATGACCAGACAGAGAGGAACATAGAGTGAGTGAGATGGGGATTAAAAAAGAGGCAGGATCTGATACGAAGGGAACATAGAGCTTTAAAAAGCAGGAGGTTGATTTTGAAGTGCTTCTGAGATAGGGAGCCAAGAAACAATGGGAAGGCAAATGTCCGTCTTGCGTGTAAATAATACAGTCCAGGGGACCTCAGTAAGCACAGCAGAGGTGGGAGAAAAAGAAAGGGCCACACTCCTTGCCACCTGTGTGTGATCTTGTTTCACCCAGCTGGAGGCCCTGAAAAAACCTGGACTTAAAAGGTGGGTGCATCAATTTCCAGGAGCATTAATTTCCAGGAGCCCCTCAGGTCAGATAGCATGTCCCTGCATACTAAATCAGATACATAGGGTTAAAGTAGTGCAGGGCCCAGTCCAGGCACTGACCTGCAAGGGGTCCATCTCTCAAACTGGCTGTGCACCACTTACTAGGGCTGTGCAAAGCTTCGAGTGCTGATTGGAGTCGGAGGAGATTTGGCCCAATTCAGTGACTGAATCTCTGAATCCGAATCGAATCAGAGGACCAATTAAAAGGTCCAAATTGAGTCAAAGCTCTCCAGATCGATTTGGAAAAGATTCAGAGAGCTTCTGTGATTCTGGCAGTCCCCCCACCGCTGCAGCAGGGAGTTGGGCCCAGACTCCGTGCTGGTGAGGAGGGGCTGGAGGAGGGGAGGAAGGGACCATGGGGGGACCCCCGCCAGGCCCCATCCCCTGCCTGCTCCCCCAGCGCCCCCGAGCACCTCCCAACCCTTACCCAC